CCGAAGTTGAACCCAGATTTCTTGCTTTGTTAATGATTGTAGATGGTAGGTTGTTGCGTTCTAGCATGAGACGAATCCCACATTGATAAAAGCGTTGGTAGACTTCATTACTTGACCAGTTCCCCAATGCCAGAATTGTTGGCAAGTCAACTCCGGCGTTTTGGGCAAAGAATGCTGATAGAGCACGTGTGTCTTTAGCTGTAAGATCTGGGTTTGAGAGATGTAATATCTCTTTTATCCATCTGGAAATGGTATCAACAGATACTGGCTTATGAGGGATACGAGAGCTAATGAACAGGTGTTTTTTTGATTCTGTTGGAATATTAAGGTGATCTATCCTTTCCTTCAAACAGTTTAGTGTAGTAAGTGGGCATAAGAGGGGTTCATCGTCATATTTTCCTATAAAGACAATTTTTGATCGTTTGTTCCCCCCTTTTGCTGTTGATATCTTGGCTTCTTTAGGCATAATGCATTTAATGTTAATGCCTCCTCTGGAGCGGGAGATTGATGTCATGTCTAATCTGCAGAGATCTGAGGGACGAGATCCTGTGGTGATTGCTAATAGAAAGGCGGTTTTTTTGTTAAGTTGAAGTAGAGGCAAATTTTCATTATTTCCCCATTTAATAATAGTGTCTAATGAAGGAACTATATCTGATACGTCATCTAAAGGTGGTAAAGGGGGGTTCGAAGCCCAAATTCCTTTCATTATTCTTACAATTATAGGGTGGGACCCAATTTTTGTACCATCAATTTTTTGGTGAATTTCGCTGATGGCAGTTCTGTATCCTGCTATTGTGTTGTAGGCTTTACCGATTGATAATTGGTAATGTAAAAAACTTGTAATTTCGTTTATTCCACAGCTTATTGGGTTTAAACTTTTCTCTTTACACCAATTTTGCCATATACGAATATTGGATGATACAGTAGACGATGCTATAGGATCAAGGGCTTTTGAAGCCAGTTCAAACACTTGTTCTGAGTATCCCTGTTCCTGGAGAGATTCCCTGAGACAAGTGCTATGTAAACTTTCCATTTGGGGTTGCGAATTGGATGTATGTGTGACCGTTGACCTGGAAGGATTGCCCAACTCGGAATCTGTATTGGTTTCGATTTGATGATCTTCACCAGAGTTGGGTACCATGGCGCAGATTTCCAAAAGGGGAACACTAATATCATTTTCGCTTTGTCCTGTAAAATCTTCGCTAGCACCTTGTGCATTAGGACCAACGGAGGGTTGATGAAGCCGAATATTTCTGTCCATGACATTGTGAATGCGTCTATCTGTTCTGTGCCTGGTTCGTTTCTCCAAGAAAAAAACCTTGGGAGTTTTGAATTGTCGGAATTTGCAAATAGGTCGATTTGTGCTGGCCCAAGTCTGGATATTATTTGATCGAATAGATAAGGGTGAATTTCCCAATCGTGTCTGTCGTAGAGGTGCCTTGACTCCCAGTCTGCCAGTATGTTGTTTTTGCCTGGTATGTGAACTGCATGTATTCTTATTGATTTTTCTAAGGCGAAGTCCCATATTGATTCTATTATTTTGCTGACTACCGGAGATACAGTACCTCCTTGATTGTTTAGGTAGGTTACTGTAGTAAGATTGTCTGACATCACCCTTATTAACTTTTTCTGAGGGTCCTTGAGGCGTTTGAGTGCTTTGAATACTGCTAGAGCTTCCAGGGCATTGATATGAAGATTTTGCTCTATTGGTGACCATTTTCCGGAAATGAGACAATTTTCTAGAACCGTTCCCCAACCAGTGTGGGATGCGTCTGTGTAAATCGTTATTTCTGGGAGTTGCTGTAATATTGCTATCCCGTTCCATTTCTGTAATTCGTTTATCCACCATGTTATTTGTGCTCTGCTCTCGGTTGATAGTGTAAGCATAGAATCCCATTCATATTTTTTTAAAGTAATATTTTTGTCGCGTAACAGGGCTCGAGACCTTAAACGTGCTGGAAATACTGCATTTGTGGTAGATATAAGTTTTCCAATAATAGATGCAAGTTTTCGAATATGAATTTCTTGCTTTTTTAATATGGATTGACATTCCCGTATTGTATCTTTGATTTTGTAACGAGGAAGGGAAATTGTCATATTTTTTGAATCTATATGAAAACCAAGATATTCTAGGGCATTTGTTGGAACCAACGATGATTTTTCGTTGTTGATTGTAAAACCCAATAACTGTAGATAATTTAAAGTAAGGTCTCAGTGTATTATAGCTTCCTTTTCTGAATCTGCAATGATCAAAAGGTCGTCTAAATATGCTATAATTCGAATACCTTGAGATCTTAGAAATTTCATAAGGGTTTTAGGACTTTCGAAAAAACTCTTGGACTGGATGATAAGCCGAAAGGTAGAGAGGAAAAGGCATAACGGTTTCTATTGTAATCGAAGGCGAGGTAAGGTTGATCTGACTTTGCTATTGGAATATTTAAGAATGCATTCTTGATATCTATGGATATCATATAATTGTTGGGTCGAAGTAGTGATTTTACTACTTCGATATTTTCCATTTTGAAATGCCGATACAGGATATAACGGTTGAGAGATCTTAAGTCTATGACCAAACGGGATGTGCCATTCTTTTTGGGAACCAAAAAGATCTTTGATAAAAAACATGGTATTGTAGATGAGATCTGTTTTATTGCT